CTCCCACCCACAGCCTCCAACCTCATCGTTCCCAACCCCGCACCGCCCGTTTCTATTTCCTTCCCAAAATCCACAAACCTGACTGCGCTGATCAACCCATTGTCTCCGCCTGCTTCTGCCCCACCGAACTTATCTCAACTCCATTTTCTCCACCCTGGTCCAGGAACTCCCCACCTATGTCCGTGACACCACCCACACCCTCCACCTCCTCCAAAACTTCAGATTCCCTGGTCCCTAACACCTCATCTTCACTATGGACGTATAGTTCCTATATACTTGCATTCCCCATGCAGATGGCCTAAATGCCCTCCGCTTCCTCTTGTCCCGCAGGCCCAACTAGTCCCCCTCCACTGACACCCTTGTCCGCTTAGCTAAACTCATCCTCACCCTTAACAACTTCTTCTTCAATTCCTCCCACTTCCTACAGACAAAGGGGGTGGCCACGAGTACCCTCATGGGTCCAAGCTATGCCTGCCTCTTTGTAGGATACGTGGAATAATCACTCTTCCGTAGCTACACTGGCCCTATCCCCACCTCTTCCTCTGTTATATCGATGACTGTATTGGCACTGCCTCGTGCTCCCACGAGGAGCTCGAACAGTTCATCCACTTCACTAACACCTTCTACCCCAACCTTAAGTTCACCTGGACCATTTCCTTCCCGGACCTCTCTGTTTCCATCTCTGGCAACCACCTGGAAACCGATATCCATTTCAAGCCTAGACTCCCACAGCTACCTAGGATACACCTCCTCTCACCCACCGTCCTGCAAAAAGGCCATCCCCTATTCCCAATTCCTTCACCTCTACCCTCGAGATGAGGCATTCCACTCCCGGACATCCCAAATGTCCTTGTTTTTCAAGGACGGCAACTTCCCCTCCAAAGTGAACAAAAACGCCTTCGACCGTATCTCTCGCAACGCATCCCTCACACCCCCTCCATGCAATAACAACAAAAACAGAATCCACCTCATCCTCACGCACCACCCCATCAACCTCTGGATCCAACGCATCATCCTCCGACACTTCCGCCACCTGCAATCTGACCCCACTACCAAAGACATTTTTCCCTCCCCACCCTTATCTGCTTTCCGGAGGGACCACTCTCTCCGTGACTCCCTTGTCCGCTCCACACTCCCCACCAGTCCCACCACCCCCGGCACTTTTCGCTGCAACCGCAGGAAGTGCTACACCTGCCCCTACACCTCCCCCCTCACCCCCATCCCAGGCCCCAAGAAAACCTTCCACATCAAACAGATGTTCGCTTGCACATCTGCTAATATGGTATACTGCATCCGCTCTTCCCGATGTGGCCTCCTCTACATCGGGGAAGCTAAGCGGAGGCTTGGAGACCGCTTTGTGGAACACCTACGCTCGGTTCACGACAAATGACTGCACCTCCCAGTCGTGAACCACTTCAACTCCCCCTCCCACTCCTTGGACGACATGTCCATCCTGGGCCTCCTGCAGTGCCACAACAATGCCACCTGAAGGTTGCAGGTACAGCAACTCATATTCCGCTTGGGAACCCTGCAGCCCAATGGTATCAATGTGGACTTCACAAGCTTCAAAATCTCCCTGCCCCCGACTGCATCCCAAAACCAGCCCAGCTCGTCCCCATCTCCCTAACCTGTCCGTCCTTCCTCCCACCTCAACCCCCAACCTCACCTCCTACCTACCAGCCTCATCCCTGCCTCCTTGACCTGTCTGTCTCCTCTCCACCTATCTGCTCCTTCATCATCTTCCATCCACCTCTCCCCCTCTCTCTATTTATTTCAGAACCCCCTTCCCCTCCCCCATTTCTGAAGAAGGGTCCAGGCCCGAAACGTCAGCCTTCCTGCTCCTCTGATGCTGCTTGGCCTGCTGTGTTCATCCAGCTCTACACATTGTTGTCTCAGATTCTCTAGCATCGGCAGTTCCTACTATCCCATTATTCCTTTCCATCTTCAACTTCCAATCTTCACTCATTATTTCCCCACTGTATCTCCACATCTGCTTAGTTACTTTGTCCTTCTTTTACACTGCATCCTACGAACACCGTATCCGTAAAGTGTTATCAATGGTAAAGTTACAGTTTCCCAAGATCGGCCAAAATCACTAAAGGCAATCTTACTGATTTATTGAATACAATCTTGAACACGGTGGTTTAGATTACTGACTACCCCGTGCACTTAATGTGGAAATGATGAGTTTCTCAGCTACTGGGGGTTAACCAACAGGATGTGAGGACCAATAGGTAAGTCAGGATAGAGGCACTGCCCCATTTATTTTCTATCCAATAACTGACAGCGCCCCCGGAGGGAGGTAGAGGACTCTTCACTCACCAGCGGTTGGCGGCATCAACAATCCTAATCCCCACTCTCAGGCACGCGCGCTTCAACCGCTCCAACCGCCTGGAGACGGGGGGGGACCTTCCACCCGGAAGTGGTTCCGAGATCATGTGACAGACGGGAGCGTTTCACACCGCATGACATGAAAGCCGGCACTCATTGGTCGTCTCCGAGGAGGTGGGGTTAATTGCTTAGTGATGTTCCGGAGGCGGAAGGTCGAAGCTTGCGTCCACGTGAGAAAACGGAAAAGAGTTTGCAAGATGAGCCGGTCTCTGAACTTTTTTTTGAGTATATCTTTTAGTCAGCCTGTTGAAGCAGATAGGACTTAATAGGTCTCTTGGCCCAGGGACGATATCACTGCACCTTCCTTGTGTACACTTAAGAAACACAGCTCTGCCTCATCCTTCACACTGCACAATATCCAGTACTAGGTACTAAATTTACCTGTTAGGAGCAGAACAACTGGTCCTTCTCGCCTATCCTGCCATCGAAGAATGTAGTGGCACATCTAACTGTGGTTTCGAAACATTCCTCCTGCCCCCTATGATCTTAGACTTATTTTTACATCTGCTAATGTGGAGAAATTTCCTCCCGTTAAATATGAGGAACACTGAAACCTTCAGAACAAAGGCAAAATGCTGTGGATGTTGGAAATCTGCAGCACAAAATGCTGGAGAAACTCAGCAAGTCTGGCAGCATCTGTGGTGAGACGATAAGAATTAATGTTTTGAGTCTGTCTGAATTAAGAATTGAAAGGTGTTAGAGGTGTCCAGTGTTCTTTATTTATTACTGAAACCTTCAATCCTGCCAAATACTTTCCACCCTAGCTATCAATCACTCCATGCCTTTCCTTGGCAATTATCTCAGGCTAAATCAACAGCAATAAAACACACAAAAAAATGCTTCAACACAACAAATATTGAGATAATAACTCACATGATCAAAAGTTTTGTCCAAGATGTTTTGTGGTCTTAGGGAAGGTGGTGGTATAGTTTTAATGTCACTGGGCTAGTAATCCAAATAGAGTCATAAAGATTATACAGCACGGAAACAGACCCTTCCGTCCAACTCTTGCATGCCGACCAGATATCCTGAATTAATCTAGTCCCATTTGCCAGTATTTGGCCCATATTCCTCTAAACCTTTTCTATTCACCTACTGTTCATTTAAATGTTGTAATTGTACCAGCCTCTACCACTTCCTCTGGCAATTCATTCCATACACGCACCACCCTCTGTGTGAAAAAGTTGCCCTTTATGTCCCTTTTAAATCTTTCCCCTCTCATCTTAAACCTATGCTCTGTTGTTTTGGACTCCCCTATCCTGGGAAAAAAGACCTTGACTATTCACCCTGTCTATGCCCCACATGATTTTATAAACTTCTATAAGGTCACCCATCAGCCTCCAACATTCCACAGAAAATAGCCCCAGCCTATTTCGCCTCTCCCTTTAGCTCAAACCCTCCAGCCCTGGCAACGTCCTAAAAATCTTTTCTGAACTCTTTCAAGTTTCAAAGTATCTTTCCTGTAGCAGGGAGACAAGAATTGCATGCAGAATTCTAAAAGTCGTATAACCAGTGTCCTGTACAACCATAACATGACCTCTTAATTCAATGCACTGACCAATAACGGCAAGCATACCAAATGTCTTCACTACCTTGCTTACGGGCACCTTCACTTTCAAGGAATTATGAACTTGCGTTCCAAGGTCTCTTTGTTCGGCAACACTCCCCAGGATCTTACCATTACGTGTATAAGTGCTGCCCTGATTTGCCCTACCAAAATGCAGCACGTCACATTTACCTAAATTAAACTCCATCTGCCAGTCCTCTTGGCCCAACTGATCAAGGTCCCATTGTACTGAGGTTGTTGACTTGCTCGCCGAGCTGGCTTGTTCTCGTTCAAACGTTTCGTCACCATCCTAGGTGACATTATCAGTGCAGCCTCCAATGAAGCAGTGTTATTCTACTCCGCTTGGAATTTATACTTTTGGTCCGTTATGGCGAGTAGTGTCATTTCCAGTTTTGATCTGCATGGGTTTGTATATGGGGTCCCCAACAAACACTTACAAGGATTAAAGACCCTATTCCCAAACATGCAGAACCAACGTAGTTTACAAAATACCATGCAACAACTGCCACAAACATTACATCGGACAGACAGGAATGAAACTAGCCATCAGAATACATGAACATCAACTAGCAGCAAAACGGCACGACGTTTAAGTATCGATACTTAATATTGGTACACTCAGACAATGAAGGCCATCAGTTTAACTGGGACAAGGTAACCGTAGTAGCCCAAGCCAAACATAGACACGCACAGGAATTCCTAGAGTCATGGTTCTCCACTCGTAATGCAATCAACAAACACATAGAATTGGACCCCATATACAAACCCATACAAATCAAAATCAGAAATGACTCTACTCACCCTAACTGACCAAACAGTATTAATTCCAAGTGGAGTACAATAACACCGCTTCATCGAAGGCTCTACTGATGATGTCACCTAGCATGGTAATGAAATGTCTGAATGAAACAAGCTAGGTCAGCGCACAGGTCAACAACCTCACCCACAACCCAAGCTACAGATCTTTGCCAAAACTTTGTGTCCCATTGTACTCTGAGGAACGCTTCTTCACTGTCCAGTACATCACCAATTTTGGTGTCATCTGCAAACTTACTATCTATATCTCCAATATTCACATTCAAATCACATAAGTTAATACTCCGGGCACATGGGTTCAAATCCCACCATGACAGCTGGTAGAATTTAAAAGGGGCAAAGCAGATTAGGAATGATATCATACAGGAGAAATTTCTGAAGTGAATACAGGATGGTTTTCTGGATCATTACTTTGAGGAACCAACTAGAGAACGGGCCATCTAGGCTGTGTGTTATATAATGAGAAAGGATTAATTGGTAATCCAGCTCTATGAGGCTCCTTAGATAAGTGATTATGATATGGCAGAATTCCTCACCAAGATAGAGATGTAGTTAATAATGAGACTAAGGTCCTGCATATAAATGGACGAAACTATGATAGCATAACGGGTGAGTTGGCTCTGATAAATTAAGGAGTGGTACTCAATAGGATGATGGTGGTGGAATGCCACATGTCCCAAAGAGCACTTGGGTGAAGTGAAACAATTGTTTATTCTTAAAAACTGAAAGAACTGTAGATACTATAAATCAGAAACAAATATAGAAATTGCTGGAAAAGCTCAGCAGGTCTGGCAGCGTCTGTGAAGAGAAATGTGAGTTAACATTTCGGGTCCGGTGACCCTTCCTCAGAGCTGGTGGTAGGTAGGAAAATATCGGTTTATATACAGAAGAGAGGGTAGGGGCAGGGGATAGAGCCCAAAGAGTGAGAAGAACAGTTGGACAAAGGAGTAGAAAACAATCTGGCTGGGAGGGTGAATAGCTGTTAATGGGATCTGTTAGTGGCTTACAGTAGGTAGTGTGTAATGGCAGACAATGTAATAACAAGGCCTGGTGTGTGGGGTAGGGGGCTAGGACAAGGAAGAGTTCAGGCCTTAAAATTATTGAACTCGATATTGAGTCCGGAGAGCTGCAGAATCCACAAGTGGAAAATGAGGTGTTGTTCCTCCAGCTTGCGCTGAGCTTCGCTGGAACACTGCAGCAAGCCTGAGACAGAGATGTTGCCCAGGGAACAGGGTGGCGTATTCAGCTGACAGGCAACTGGAAGGTCAGGGTCATTTTTTGTGGGCAGAAACATAGATGCTCTGTGAAGCGGTCACCCAGTCTACACTTCATTTCTCCAATGTAGAGGTGACCACATTGTGAGCAGTGAATGCAGTAGACTAGATTTTGTGAAGTGCAGGGAAAGTGCTCCTTCACCTGGAAAGTATGTTTAGGCCCTTGGATACTGGGGAGGGAGGAGTTAATTCTGCAGCTGTTACACCTTTGGCAGTTGCAGGGGAAGGTGCTGGGGGGCTGTGGGGGGATGTTGGGAATGAAGGAAGCGTGGACCACGGTGTCCCGGAGGAACGGACCCTGCAGAAGGTAGGCAAGGGCAGGGTGGGGAATATATTTCTGGTGGTGGCATCTTAGTGGAGGTGGTGAAAATGGCATTTGATAATCTTCTGAATGTGGATGCTGGTGGGATGGTAGGTAAGGACAAGGGGAGCCTTGTCGCTGTTGCGGGAGGGAAGAGAGGGGGTGGGGGTGGAAGTGTGGGAGATGAGTTGGACCCAGCTGAGGGACCCTGTCAACAATGGTGCTGGGAAATCCTTGGTTGAGGAAGAAGGTGGACATTTTGTAGGCTCCCTTGTCAAAGCTGGCCTCATCGGAACATATGCGACATAGACGGAGGAACTGGGAGAATGGAACGGAGTCTTTACAGGAAGCACGGTGCGAGGATGTATAGTCCAGGTAGCTGTGAGATTCGGTAGGTTTATAGTGAACATTAATGGCCAGTCTATCTCCAGAAATGGAAACAGAGCTGTCGAGGAAGGGAAGGGAGGAGTCAGAGATAGACCAGGTGAAAGTGAGGTGTGGAAATTTGAAGCAAAATCGATTAAGTTTTCCAATTCCGGAGGAGAGATGAAACCAGCACCGATGATGTTTATTCATGTATGGTGCAAAAGTAAAATGGGAAAGGTGGACAAACCATGACTAAGAAGGGAGATTAGAGGTCTTATTAGATCCAAGGAATAGTCATACAAATTGGCCAGAAAAACAAAACAGACTGAGGTGTTTGAACAGTTTAGAATTTAGCAAAGGAAGACAAAGGGATTGATTAAGGGTAAATAGAATGTAAGAGTTAGCTTGCAGGGAACATAAAAACTGACTGTAAAAATTTCTATAGGTATGTGAAAACAATTTTGGTCCCTTACAGTCAGAAACACCTGAATTTATAATGTGGGACAAAGAAGTGACTGTCTATTTGCCAGAAATGTCAGGGAATGAAGTGTTCAGGGAGAAAGAGGAACTGAGGGCAGTCAGTATTAGTCAGGGAATCGTGTTGGGGAAATTGAGATTGAAGGTAGATAAATCCCCAGGGCCTGATAATCTACATCCCAGGGTACTAAAGGAAGTGACCCTAGAAATAGTGGATGCATT